GTACGTTGTTCGTCGAGAGGAACAATGGTGTGCTGTATATAATAATAACATTAATGTTCTTTTCTTTCTTCTTTTCTTTTCGTTAATTAGAAGATTCGTGAGTATGTAATTGGGATATATTCGAATTATTCGAAAGGGTAGAATTTTTTGAAAAATTCTCTCGGCACGGAATCTTTTTCAAAGATTAATTAATCACGATGGAATCGAACGATACAATGTATATGTATATTTATTTAATCGATTTGAAATCTTTTTTTTTTTTTCTTTTTTATTCATTTTTTTGTATTTTTAAACACGGTGACTCGGATATCATATTTTCATCATCTCGATAATATATCTGTCACACGCAAAAGTGAAGCTTATTTTGAATCGATAAGCGTTCGAAAGCAACCAAAGTTGGTTAAATTTAAGAGCGAATCTTTCCATGCAGTGATCATTCGGTTCGTGACAGATCGACGTAAAAAAAAAAAAAAGAGAGGAGAGACTTATGGTGGAAAGCAGAGAGAAGGTGGATAGCTCGAATCCCCCAGTAAAGTCGAAAATCGACAGAATCGGAGCGCATATTTCATTGCCGGCGTGCGATTTTCAATCTCCGCGAATGTCCGTCCACCAACCCCCTCATAACCTTTTCTTTTCACGATAGGTCCGTTACTTTTGCCTCTCGAATAACACTGGATAACTTTACGCTTTGTAACTTGGCTTCGAAACGCGAATCGAATCGAATCGAATGCGAGGCAAGGGAGGAGGGGAAAAGTCGAGAGGAAAAAATACATCGCCAAATGATGAATTTTTTCTTTTTCTTCGGGTTTAAAAATTCGAGCTTTCAAATCCAAAGTTCAAAATATTAAAATTATCGATATAAAAATATATACGCTTAATAAAATAATATATTCGATCGAAGTTCCATACGATAAATCACGACGCATCAAAAAGCAAGATTAAAATTATTATAATCAAGTTATCGATTGATTCGATCGATTTTTGTCAATAGTAATTTTTTAAGCATCAATGATTGCTTGTTTCTTTGATGCAATCTTTTTAAAAGTATTAGTAAAAAAAATAGCAATTTTTCTAAACCTATTCACTTATTTTTTAACGATCTCACAGATTAGCAAAAATTGTTCTTTCGCTCGAAATCTCAGATTTTTTTTTTTTTTTATTCGAGATCTCTTTCTAGATATCGCTTTGTAAATGTTTCACGAGCAAACCGAAGAACCGCTTCGGAAGGAGTTTCGAGGAGGAGAGAAAGCTTCTTTGCAAAATCTGTTCCTACTAGATTATGCTGGCAAATTGGGAAAGGGAGGGGGCGCGTTTCTGAAATACGGTTCCACGAGCGGAACCCTGTATGCAATTTGAGGGTTAGCCGAATCTCTGTGCGTCTTTGGCGCGTCCCGAGATTAAATTCCCCGCATCAGGAATAACTTTCCCTAACGTTGATTAGCATACGTGAGAAGAAACTCGTCACTTTCACCGGGCCTCTCCCTTTGACGCCGTTAATAAACCATCCACCATCCCATTCCTGGATATGAATTAACCAGAGCCACCTTCTTATCTGGCATTGATTAAATCCAGAACACTCGACTGTCGTCTCTCGCGTCCTTGAATTATTCATACGTTCTTTAGCCAGGCCCGAGAATGGGTTACATCGATTTCTGGCGACAAAGTCGTTGGAGGAGAAGGTGATGAGTCACCTGTTCCTCTCTCCAACGTGTTATTCAAGATTTCGCGATCGTAGAATAAATTCGAACTTCCCCCCCCCCCCCCCCGAGATGGAAAGAATTCATTCGCGGGTTTAGAAATTCAAAGCGTTTCGCGTCGATTTTTATCACGTCCCGAAAATTCAGAAATTTTCTAGACGCTTCACAGAGGTTCTCTCCCGAAATTAGATTAGAAACGCGTTCGTATTTCCTTTCCATCGAAGACGATCAAATTCAATGGAAAATTCGAAACGACAAACTGGCCAANCCCGGCTATAAATTTAACGGCTTGAAGCTGGAACTCGAACACGACTTCGAGAGACTGCGTTCGATGTGCGGGCAGACCGCACGACGACGCTTGTTCCTCGAACAGACTACATTCCGGATATCTGTCAGCGGCACACCGCCGACGAAAATCGTCGGTGTCGTCACACGAAACCATAATTTCATTCAGTTAAACGTCGTTTGAACCTCGTTCGGCCGAAGGAACGTGATTTTCCACGCTAGTTTTCTTTCTTTCATTAAAGATTATTAGTGGATGTTTGAAGATAATGGAAGGATGATTCGAAAACTTTGTGTATCCGCCCGCAACACTTGTTCAACAGAGTTGATGCGAATCCGTACGAGGCTTGGACAAGTTTGCGCCTCGATGAGGATATCGCTTTCTCGAGGGGCTTCCTCTTATCTTCCAAGTTCCTGTTCCTCGTTTCTCCATCGATACAGTTAAACTCTTTCTCAAACACGTGGGATAGGAAGTGGAGGATCTTGGTAATGAAAGGAAGAAAAGTAGATTGTTTTTTTTTTTTTTTTAATAAAATGCAAATAGCTTTTCATTGAATTCACAAGGATAGGGAAACAATAATTTGTGTAAATTCGTTCGCATCTTTCTATTCCGTTCGAAAAACATTCAAAGCTCAAATCTACGCGCTCTCGTTTGATAAACTCTAGCGTATTCGTTCTTAAAAAACTCTGCCTTCTCTTCCTACTTCAATTTCAAAATTGTATAAACGCACGTTGTCCCGATTTCCTTATGATTAAATAAACGTACACGGAATATCTGAAGAGAATCGGGATTGGAATAGACGTCGTCTTGCACGATTTTTCGTGATATATCGCACGGTCCATCCTCCGAGTTAGTTGGCACGCCGCTTTTATTTCACCTTCGGCTTCGTATTTTCCTTTGTTTTGTTCTCCCTCTAATTTGACGAGGGCGAGGACCATAGAACCGTGTGTACCATTAACCCAAATAATTCCGAAGAACAACCCTCTCTCTTCTCGAATTCTCTCTCCTCCATCCATCTCTCGTCTCTCGTTTGCCAACCATTG